AAAAAAAAAAAAAAAAAAGATATATCATTGTCAAGAAAATACGCAGAATTCAGTAATAAACAAAGATGGGATTACGAAATTTGATATCTCACCATATATCATCATCAGGGTTCAAGAAAATCACAATGATCAATCACAATAGAGATGAATATTAGTCAAAATGAATCCACAAAAGAGGCTAACATGTTTCAGACAGGCAATAAAAAAATGTCACCAATTTTAGAGTTTTGAAATGTGCAAACTTGTCATTTTCAAACAGGTAATTAGGTGCCATATTAATACTCCTCATACCTGTCTATATTGAAGAAATAACTCGGCTCAACCATTAATTCTTCTGATACATCATAGTCATGAAAATTCAATATTCCTCCATCCCATTGCTGCTAGTCATGGTGGTACTACTTGCCGTCAGCCACCGCTCTACTGGCCGCGACATCCACAGAGCCCCCATTCAAGCCACCACACCTGTTTCACGGTATTCATCAGTAGAAGCATCCAAGAAATCCGGAACTCGAGAAAATGATACGAGTTTCAGAGTTTCTGCTCGTCAAGTACCAGGAGGGTCAAACCCTCTACACAATTGAGTAGCTTCTTTATGGTTCCAGCAGCTCTTGGATCACACAAGACGCTTTGCAATCAATAGTGAGAACTTTAGATCGGCTTTCCAAGTTCTATTTTCCATGTAGAAATGTATATTAGATGTTGATAGATTTTCTTGTTGGTTTTGGTTGTATACACAAGTCAAGGATGCATACAAGATGAATTATGCATAATATATTTTATTATCTTACCTTCAATAGAGGGTCAAACCCTCTACACAATTGAGTAGCTTCTTTATGGTTCATGAAGCCCTAGGATCACACAAGAAGTTTTGCAATCAATAGTGAGAACTTTAGATCAGATTTCCAAGTTCTCTATTCCATGTAGAAAATTGAGTAGCTTCTTTATGGTTCCTGCAGCCCTTGGATCACACAAGAAGTTTTGCAATCAATAGTGAGAACTTTAGATCAGCTTTCCAAGTTCTCTTATCCATGTAGAAATGTATATTAGGGTCCGTTTGATTGTAAGAGTGGAATTTGAGGGGAAATAAAATGAATTATAGGGAATTGAATTGTCTAAAATTGTTTTCTTGAGAATTGTCAATTAATTGTGTTTGATCGGTATAATTGGCCACCTGAAAAATGTTGAAATTTTGGATTTTTTGGTGTTTGTTTGATTTTGTTTTCCATGAAAATTGTCAATTAAAAGGAATTTCTCGAGTTCCGGAATTCATTGTGTTTGTTGAGATTTTCTTGTTGGTCTTGGTTGTATACACAAGTCAAGGATGCATACAACATGAATTATGCATAATATATTTAATTATCTTACCTTCAATAGAGATTTCTTCTAAATATTGATGAAATTCGACATAGTTGGAATATTTATGAAATAGTTTCTTTCTTAAATAGCCATGCTTTCGATATAAATGCACTTATGGTTGATATAGGAAGATTAAAAGATGTGTCTTTCATGAAAGAAGTTTTGGAATTTCACACTTGTGATTTTGATTTTGCTCTAATTTGTCTTATAAATAGGAAGTCGTTATTAGGATATTGTATTATCATAAAACAGGAGAGAAAGAAGTTGGAGAAGATACATTGTGCGATTTTCTTCTGTAGACTTTTTTCCTTTGAGCCGTGCTAGCAATTGGTACGGCCACACTAACAATTTTGGCATAGCAGACATACTTTTCCTAGGCCTAGGCTGCTCGACTAGGCCCTCCCCCCACCCACATTCCTAACACATCTACAAAAAACCACCCCATCTATCAACAAAATAAAGAAGAATGAACATCGAAGTGTCTCAGACATTGAAGGTTAAGAATCTTGAACTCATAGGTGTCATGACATTTCAAGTGCAGATTAGCAAGATCTATTAGAAGGCCGAAAGAAAGTAATTCTCCAAACGCTTACGTGA